ACTCGATTATTTACAAAGCGCCGCCATGTAGCTGGAATATTGCTGAATGCAGGGTTGAATAACAAACAAACAAAAGATATACGGTTGAGACGATATATAACACCCCACCCGCGTCAAATCAAGGAGTCACACCCACTGCCAAATAGCAGAAGCCAGGCCAAAAACGGCAGGACGCAAGCCCAAAATCCAACAATCCAAAATTAAATTTATGAGATCGGTTGTGTCGCTATCCCACACCAAAACGACACAACGCTTGTGTCAGTGAAATATATGACGTAGCAGTTTTGCCGAGCCAACGTGAAGACGTGCCTATCTGGTTTTAGCAGAACAAATAAATGCAACACCAACTGACATATCGCTGTTACACATGATAGCTTAATGTAAATCTACAATAAATGAAAGTTCTTTAATGCATTTCCCATCTTGCTGAATACAATGGGAACCATTGTGCCCAGCGGACATGTTTAGCTGAAGTGTTTCTGTTGCGGGGCGATAACCAGCTACTGGAAGGATGTGGGACGAGCGCTATATTTCTGTCAGGACATCCAGTAAATAAAGTATTTTGTTGTTGAATTATGGCTATTATCTTACAGAAAAAAACTATTCTATTCAAATGATCGGTTAGTAAAGTGTTAAATATCAAGGAAGCATAACTTCTAAGAAAGCATTGCGTTTTAGGACAGTATTACGTCTCGAAAAGGCGTTGCGAATCAAGGAAGCATTTCGTCCCAAGAAAGCATAGTTTATCAAGGAAGCATAACACATCAAGAAGCACTACGTCCTGAGGCAGCATAGCGTAACAAGGTAGAATTACTTTAGAAAGCATAGCGCATCAAGGCAGCATTACGTCCTAAGAAAGCGTAGCGCATCAAGGAAGCATTACGTCCTAAGAAAGCGTAGCGCATCAAGGCAGCATTACGTCCTAAGGAAGCATAGCGCATCAAGGAAGCATTACGTCCTAAGAAAGCGTAGCGCATCAAGGAAGCCTTACGTCCTGAGAAAGCATAGCGCATCAAGGACGCATTACGTCCTGAGAAAGCATAGCGCATCAAGGACGCATTACGTCCTGGGAAAGCAGTACATCAAGGACGCATTACGTAAGGAAGCATAACTCACGAAGGAAGCATTACGTCCTTAAATAGCGTAGCGAATCAAGAAAGCAGTACATCAAGGAAGCATTACTTAAGAAAGCATAACTCACGAAGGAAGCATTACGTCCTAAGACATGATAGTACATCGAGGAAGCATATATTCACAAGAATGTCTGAGGTGTCTTTAAATGTAACCTTTGATCATCACCAGCATATATTTATCGTACAAGCTCGGGTCATGGATTGTTCCCATGCTCGCAACAAGCCATTTGATGACACTGCATATGCATGTACAACTGGCGTCAGTTCAAAGCTAAAGGTCACACAGATCTGACAAATAATGTGTCTTTACAACTTTGTAAATAGGTAACTGAGCTTTTTGGTGTGAATGTCAAGCGATGGGCGCGGTTACACATTGGATGTACACGTGATTGTTATGTACGATTGTCAATGTCACAACATGAGGTCTGCAAGCTCAAGCAGCTACATGCATAATTTGTCTGATGAAGCGGAGGCATATCCTCGCGCTTATCTGTGTGAGTGAGTGAGTTGGGTTTAACGCCGCTTTTAACAGTAAACTACATTTATAATAAACATGCTAATAACGAACTGACCGATATAAGAAGTTATTTTTTAGTCTCAGCCATTTGTTGTATATATGCTGTATATATACTTAGAGGTGAGGTGAGGTGAAATTGGGTTTAACGTCGCGTCCAAGATTATTGCACTTATATAGCGACGTGCATGTACGTGTGTGTGTTTGTGTGGCTGCTTGTACTAGTCCGGACTGATGCCGATTTATAGTGCTAGATCACTGAGATACCATGCCGCAGTTTAACATGAATACCCCACTCAGACACAGTATACTGACTCCGAGCCGACCAGTCCTTGTTTTAGCCCCTTAATGCCGAGCCCCAGACAGGGTAACATATATACTTAGAACAAACTATGGTTATTACAAGTCCCGTTGTGTTCGTTATAACCGTAGTTTGTTCTAAGTATATCTATCACTATACCAATGGGCAACATATATCTCATCACAATTGATAGTGTGGACTTCTCCATCATGGTTTACTACAGGGTCACAGGTCAAGTGAGTGAGTGAGTTGGGCTTAACGCCGCTTTTAACAGTATTCCAGTTATATCACGGCGTGTCAGCTTAATGTGGGAGGAAAGCCCGAAGTGATGCAGGTCTCAGACGTTTACCACTTCGGTGAAACCCACAAGCACGGGTATAGTGATGACAAACCTATAAACATAATCGGGGCGAACCGGGATTCGAACCCACAATCATAGGTTTCTGGCGTGCCCAAGGGACGCAACTCTGCACAGTGAATCGCGGCGCCTTAGACGACTGGGCCATCCGTGGTTTATGGTGACAGCCTGAAATGTTTATGTTCGACAGATATATTTTTCCCGAATTTAATTGCACATAATTAAGTGTGCATATAACCCACGAGTGCGTATTATACACGAATAAATAAGTATTGTGGACATTAATCAATCGGAAGTGGTGCTAATTGGGATTGTTCACTAGCCAATATATTAGCAAATATCGCCGTGTGCGTTTATTAGAGCGAGGCGCTTATTACGTCCAATACGGTAGTTATACTTTGCCTTTATGTCTCGGAAATGACTGTTGATAAGACGGCCTCACTGAACACTTTGAATAGCGGAGATACCAACGTGAATATAAAACCAATCAACTATCTATTTCCACATTACGGTTACTGAGAACAATATGTCATCCAAAAACTAGAAATTACATAATGGACATCCGGTAGTATTGCCATTGCTTGGGCTAGAACTTCCACTTTGAGGACATCTACTCCGCAAACAGAATATACATTGATATAAGCGTTGTTTTTAGGAAAACACTATTGCTTTTTAGGAAGTACCTACTACTTAGCGCCACTGAGCGGTGTTATTTGCTATTTGTTTTGATAACTTGGCTCGGGGGGCGAGGGAACCAATAGCTAAATAGCACCATAAATCAATCAAATTCTGTTTTTTAGCAGAAATACCTGGATGATAGTGAGAAAATGTCAAAACTCCGTCCATATGTAGAATTTGAAATGCGACTGGATAAATCTCAGCTCTCTTTTATGATCAAAACCCACATCAGCCCAATTCATATGCAATAATATAAACATGACTTCATCATATTCATGTCGTATATAGAGGTTTTTAAGTAAGTACGCCAGTATTTGACAAGGAGCAGCAATATTATTATCGTCTCATCTTGTCCAAACAGTCATGTGAAAAGCGTTATCTGTAGAAGAGAGATAATATATTTATCCTTTTTCTGCGCATGCTCAGGTGTGCTGCTTGAGAACGTGGGTGGCTGAAAGAGAAGTCACAAGTTAGATCTTTACTATGCACAAGGGTAAGATGACATGCATTGAAGCAGGTGCATGTCTGGCTTGGGGTGAAAAGGTTACTCGATACCCGAGTGCAACTAGAGTCGCTGTTCAGATATATAGCAGTAGGCGGGTGCCGGCTTAATATTGATGGGAAAATGGAGAGAGAGAGAGAGAGAGAGAGAGAGAGAGAGAGAGAGAGAGAGAGAGAGAGCGAGAGAGCGAGAGAGAGAGAGAGAAAAATAAAGATATATTTAAATGCAAGACATATGTAAAATATAAAAAAAATATTGCTGAGTGATTCCTTGACAGATGTACTTGAGGTCATACACGCATTCTGATTGGTATTTTCGCACATAACATTCATCAATCGGTGCGAGTGGTGACGAATGTTTTCCCTTCGGTGTTCGGCCATTTCCGTAGAAGATCGACAGATAAGAAACTAATTCTTCCAATCCATCACCAGTAATTCCGAGGGCGACTAAGGTATCTCGATACAACTTTGTACACCTGTCAATACATTTCTTTTCGCGCCATATCCTTTTGAACATTGATACATGGTACATTAATCTCTTTGAAAGTTTGTTTGTTGTTTAACGCCGCACTCAGCAATATTCCAGCGAGATGACGGTGGTCTGGTCCAGACTATCAAGTGATTGATATGATGAGCATCGAACCACGTCAATATGGATACGATGACATGCATCAACCAAGTCAGCGAGCCAGACCACCCGATCCTTTTACGACAAGCATGGGTTGCTGAAGACCTGTTCTACCCCGGATCCTCTTGGAATCATTGATGATAAAGAAAGCAATTATTTCTCATTTTAAGAGCATCATCGTGTTGTGACACTTTGTTTTTTCTATCTGTTTGTTGCCGCACTCATCAACTTTCCAGCGATCCTGGGGCGGTCGGGTAGCCTAGTGGTTAAAGCGTTCGCTCGTCACGCCGAAGACCCGGGTTCGATTCCCGACATGGGTACAATGTGTGAAGCCCATTTCTGGTGTCCCCCGCCGTGATATTGCTGGAATATTGCTAAAAGCGGCGTAAAACCATACTCACTCACTCACTCCAGCGATCCTGGACCAGACAATCCAGTAATTGATATTGCGAACACACACCCAAGCTGTCGGGGAACAATGACACGCCATTAAACAAGCCACCAAGTCTGACTACCATTTGGTCACCTCTTACGGTTGTTGGGGACCTATTCTAATCCGGAACTCCCTGAGGGAGTGAGTGAGTGAGTTTGGTTTAACGCCGCTTTTAACAGTATTCCAGTTATATCACGGCGTGTCAGCTTAATGTGGGAGGAAAGCCCGAAGTGATGCAGGTCTCAGACGTTCCCACAGGGAGAAACACGGAGCGGAACGGAGTTGATTTTCCCTTCATAATAAAGTAGGATTTAACATGTTGACTGACCTGCATACGTCAAGTCACACTGTCATATCGTGATTTGCCAGTCAGAACTGGCGTCAAATCTGACACATGTGACCGATAACGCTCGTAAATGCCTTGACACATGTTATTTGTCGATCTCCCACGGAAATGGCCGAACACCGTAGGGAAAACATTCGTCACCACTCGCCCCTTTCCGTAATCTGCAAGAAGAATCGTCACTCTATTGATGAATGTTATGTGCGAAAATACCAATCAGAATGCGTGTATGACCTCAAGTACTTCTGTCAAGGAATCACTCAGACATATGTCTTGCGTTTAATTCTATTCTCTCTCCCTCCCTCTCTCTCTCTCTCTCTCTCTCTCTCTCTCTCTCTCTACCTCTCTCTCTCTACCCCTCTCTCTCTCTCTCTACCTCTCTCTCTCTCTCTCTACCCCTCTCTCTCTCTACCTCTCTCTCTCTCTCTACCCTCTCTCTCTCTCTCTACCTCTCTCTCTCTCAGGCTTCAAGAACACACACACACACACACACACACACACCTAATTCCACATTTGGTACATTTGCAGACGGTCAATCTGACTAAATATTAATTCGATTTCAGAATGCATCGCAGTTTGACTATATTGCGTTTTCACAAATCAAGAGTTCTAATGATTTTGTTCCAGCGAAAACGGAGTGGCAAAATGTGGCACAGGCGGAGCTGGAAGCAGCGTTGAAGGTAACGAAAAACACCAACGTCGCCAAGAACGTCATCTTGTTCATCGGAGATGGAATGGGACTGCCCTCGGTGACCGCTGGTCGGATTCTGAAGGCCCAGGAAACCAACAGGAGAGGTCAACAACCCCTCTTCTCTTTCGAGAAATTTCCAGCTGTTGGCCTGTCAAAGGTGGGTGCATTTTAAGTAAACTGCCGGGCCCAAAAAAATATACACTTGAAAATTGGATTTGAACACAACATTACAAACGTTTTCAGACGAAGAAATGTCACTTGTTCACTTGTTCAAAACACAACTAGAAACCCGCATGAAATGTAATAGCATCGAATAAGCATTTCTTGTTTGGTTGGTCCAGTGGTTGAGCGTCCGCCCGGAGAGCGGAAGGTCCAGTGTTCGATCCCGGGCCGCGTCATACAAAAAGACGTTAAAAGATTGTACTTGTTGTTACCCTGTCTGGCGCTCGGCATTAAGGGGCTAAAACAAGGACTGGTCGGCTCGGAGTCAGTATACTGTGTCTGAGTGGGGTATTCATGTTAAACTGCGGCATGGTATCTCAGTGATCTAGCACTATAAATCGGCATCAGTCCGGACTAGTACAAGCAGCCACACACACACATACACGTGCATGCACGTCGCTATATAAGTGCAATAATCTTGGACGCGACGTTAAACCCAATTTCACCTCACCTCACCTTGTTTGGTTGATTTTTAGCCATCATCAAACATGGGTGTATACTTTTGTGTGAGTGGGTTTTGTTTTACGCGCACAGCTGGGGACAGTATACTTTTTGTTGCACGGCAGTTTAGAGTGAGAGTATGCGGCTCAGCTATCAACCTAAACCTGCTTCCAAAGAAGATATGGCTTCGGTGAAATCAAGCAATATCGCTTTGGAGATATGGCTGCACTGAAATTGTATGACAGTGCTTTGCAGACCATTATGACGTCATCGGTTTACGCGCCACAATGATATCACATCACTAATTTATCTGCCACTTTGGGCGGTCGGGTAGCCTAGTGGTTAAAGCGTTCGCTCGTCACGCCGAAGAACCAGGTTCGATTCCCGAAATTGGTACAATGTGTGAAGCCCATTTCTGGTGTCCCCGCCGTGATATTGCTGGAATATTGCTAAAAACGGCGTAAAACCATAATCACTCACTCACTCACTCACTCTGCCACTGAAGCTGGTGAGATGTACTTTTAAACTCAAGACACTTGTTTAAACTGACATTTTTTACAAACATTAAAAATTGAAAGTGATTTTGTCTGATAAACAGAATCTCACCGCTGTGTCATTTGTTATCCATTATATCAACATATTTTTTATGAGAGCTTAAAAATCCTCGACAAGCTTTGGAGTTAGAATTATTTATTTGACACCGCTTCAAACAGTATTTGAGTTATATCACGGTGTGTCAGCTTGTGTGGGAGAAAATCCCGGGTCTTTAAGCACTTGTATTAAAGCAGACCTGCTGATATGCCGCAAAAAACAAATAGAGGAATTCTTTAGTTGTTTTACACCACTTTGAACATTATTCCAGTTATATCACGGCGTGTCAGCTTTATGTGGGAGGAAAGCCCGAAGTGATGCAGGTCTAAGACGTTTACCACTTCGGTGAAACCAACGAGCACGGGTATGGTGCTGACGAACCGAGAAACATAATCGGAGCGAACCGGGATTCGAACACACAATCATAGGTTTCTGCCTGCCTCCTATTTCTACAAACATCATGTGTATGGATCTACGTAGCCCTGAGACCACTAGGATTGTGGGTTCGAATCCCGGTTCGCCCTGATTATGTGTCTAGCTTTGTCAGCACCATACCCATGCTCGTGGGTTTCACCAAAGTGGTAAACGTCTAAGATGTGCATCCTCCCACATTAAGCTGACACGCCGTGATATCATCATCTTCCCGAGGCAAGAGAGTTAACTGACTACAAAAGTCCAGTTTCCACCCTTGCCGAACTAGGCTGGTATTATGGAGTTACATTTTGGCAGGACTAACGAGTCTATGCACAGTCCAATCAAAATCGCACGACGAAATCGAAATCCGGGTCGTGAACTTTCGTGCAGATTTCGGTCGATTGCAAGATTTGCAAAACATGTGCACCGCCAACTCGTTGTCAACAGATATTTTCCAACTCTTTTCTCACGCGAGTTGCTCACGCGATTTGATGCACTTCGCGATATAAAACCCGTTTTATCACAATAAAGATCTTGATTATCGATCAGATCGTCCAGACTCGGCGCCGCCATTTTGTTTGAAACAAATGAAAGTGATACGAGGGGTGGAATCTGATTGGTCCATAGGAGAGGCTTAGAAGGGACATAACTCGTAATAACCACTGGTGGCGCTACGATCGAGCCCATGAATTCCAGCCTAGTTCGGCAAGGGTGGAATCTGGAGTTTTAAAGTCAGTTAACTCTCTTTACTCGGGAAGATGTGATATCACAGGAAAGCTGTTGAAAGCTGCGTTAAACCAAACTCACTCACTCACTATTTACAGACGTACAACAATGACCGCCAGACGGCAGGTTCGGCCAGCACGGGCACCGCCTACTTGTGCGGGGTCAAGGCCAACTATGGCACCATTGGCGTCTCCCCCGCCGTCAAAAGGAAAGACTGCGAGGCTTCTAAGACAGTGGAAGGAAAACTATCGTCTATTCACAAATGGTCCAAAGAAGCGGGTAAGCCTAGTCCGGGTAGAACGAACAATTCCGGATATCTCGAGGTCGGATGTAACGAACAATTCGGGATATCACGGTCGGTTATATTGGTTTAACGGGATAAGGAAACAGTCAAACTCCCCTGGCGTTAAAAACAAACGTTATTGTTCACGTGAACAGCGATTACGGATGTAACGAGTATATTTAGAAGTCATGGCGTCATATCCGGAGTTTTACAAAGTGAAAACCGACGATTCGGATGTACTGCAGGGATTTAAAAAATAATTTGCTTTAGATAATATTGGACTAAAATTATTTTTCCTCATGATCATGTCTTACGAAAACAGACGTGCCCTGGAAACGCCATGAAAAACATGAGTTACGAGTAAAAAAAAAATTGGTGTTAAGCTCCTTATTTCTCTATATATTCTGCGTCTGACAAAACTTCCGGGCGCTAAAATATTTATGGTCCGTTCCTTGCACGCATTGATTCACATGTCTTCAAAACAGAAGTTGTGTGCAGAGAACGAAACAGCTCGCGTTTGCTTATATCTGAAGTGACAGTTTACTTTGTAGCTTCACAATGTAGCTTTAGAACAAACGTTCACCCACACAGTATCATAGAGATAATAACGCAAGAAATATTGATTAAATTTAATTTAATTTCATTCTGACCAGAATGTCATAAATGGTGCAATTGAAAGTTGTACGATGGAACAGTTGAATGTTGCACAATGATGCAGCTGAATGTTGCACGACGGTGCAGTTGAATGTTGCACGATGGAGCATTTGAATGTTGCACGATGAAGCAGTTGAATGTTGCACGATGGAGCAGTTGAATGTTGCACGTGAGTTTGAGAGTAATGTTTGCTTAAAGGGGCACTGATCTAACGCAATTCCCCGGGACTGGTTGTTGCCTTTGTTATTGTTTTTTCCCAGTGAGTACCCGGATGTATAGCAGAAATCTAGACTAGGTCGCGACCTCTGCTGCGCAATTCGTAAGCGCATTAGTCACTTTTATGGATACCGGTAGTAATAAGGGCGTATGGTCACATTGATCAACAAAATGAAATACAGTTTTCGAGATAATAAGGAAATGTAGGTATCTTTGTGGGTAGCATCGGTAATGGTGACGAAGTTTTGATAAGTCACTTGCTTGGTAATTTTGCGATTTTCGTATACACTATTTTGACTTGCAACACAAGGTAAATATTTCACCTGAGCATTGTTTTTTTATAGTGTGTATATTTTTTCACTGTCAAAATGTGTAACACATTTATTAAACGTCTAAATACTTTACAAAGTGACTGAAAAACATTTCCATCTGTATTATAATGATAACGAATTCCAAACATTTTGATGTTTAATGTCATCACCAAGAGACTGAAAATGTTACGTTGAAAAGTACATTTCTATGTTGTATGGCTTCTAATCCAACATAATAATCTGTTGTGATGTTTGTAGGCCCTTTTGATCGTCTTAATCAGATGTTTTAGTCAAAATGACTGAAATATTTACACATTTTATAAATTGCCTGAGAGAATCACATTTTACAAATTGACGGTAATATATACACGCTTACAAAGGAAAAGACCCGTGAAAACAACGTCTATCGCGCATTGAGGTATTTCCCAACCAAGACGTAGAGAAACAAGAACGAATCGGTTCAAATGAAGGAAAACAAAATGCAAATACTATAAGTACAACCTACCAAATTTATGTGTATAAATTTTAGGCAGCTTCCTTGTTCGAGGAATGTATCCGTGAATATCAGCTGTACAAAGACACTTATTCGATGTCACGTGTCTGAGTAGCAATCACATGTTTTAAAAGATATATATCGTTTCGGGATATTATAATCCGTGTTCGTTTATCAACTGATCACTTGGATTGTTTCAGGTGTCAAGTCTCAAGGGTCGGCTGAGAAAGCCCACGTGACAACTATTTTCATAACGTCCACGGTTCCTAAAAAATCAATTGAGTGATAGATAACAATGATCAATCAATCAACGTATTATCAGTTAACTCTTTGAACAAAGTATGTTGTTTTTACATCGGTACGCCATGATATGAGTGTATTCCCTTTGTTTTAGTGAACCTAGACATGTAAACACTCACTCTTGACATATCCACTGTGCAAGATAACAGTGATTAATCAATCAACGTATTTTCTCTTAATCCTGATGATTAGAAACGATCCGTTGATTTACAGAAAAAAGTAAATGAACTGGTCATTCATCTCTTGCTGGGCTGCCACGTGCATATTACAAAACACACATTTCACCTCACTTCAAACCTGGATTTAGATTGAATAATTACCCCAGACACAATAAATGCCAAATGGGAACCTTTGTCAGGTAATCTAAGTGGTGCTACCACTAATTGTACCTGTAATAAATTCATTAACTGAGTATCAAGTGAATGACGACAAATACACAAGTGTAGGGTTAGACGAGAAAACGTGGATGACAACAAGGGAGTAGTAATCGTATTATCGACGCAATCCGAAATCCGAAAATGCTTTCACTGCATGGATACTTTTTTTTAGTATTAAACTATAATCATCTAGGGTATTTCCAAATTACGACATCCGATGAGCTCCGCCGTTCTTTTTGTCTGTTTGTTTAGGCTGAAGAAATTAATTAACATGCGCCCTTTGTCGAAATCTTTATAGATCACAGTTAACCAATCAGTGTTTATACAAAAATGCGTTAAACAAATATTGCCTCCATCCTCCAAGTTTATTTAGCTGTCCTTGCAGACGGTAGCCCAGTCTCTGGTCACGATCAGTTGCGTTGCGTATCATCCGGGTAATCACGGGGGAAAAAACAATAACAAAGGCAATAACCAGTCCGGGGAATTGCGTTAGATCAGTGCCCCTTTAACGCCGCATCAGCAATCTTGCATCTATTCGCGGCGAGAATGTTACACGATTTTGCAGTTGAATGTTTCACAATGGAGCAGCTGAATATCACACGATAGATCAGTTGAATGTTGCACAATGGTGCAGTTGAATGTTGCACAAAGATGCAGTTGAATGTTGTACAATGGTGCAGTTGAATGTCACGCAATGGTGCAGTTGAATGTCACACAATGGAGCAATTGAATGTCACACAATGGAGCAGTTGAATGTTGCACAATGGTGTAGCTGAATGTAGTACAATGGTGCAGTTGAATGTTGCACAATGAAGCAGTTGAATGTCACACAATGGAGCAGTTGAATGTTGCACAATGAAGCAGTTGAATGTTGCACAATGGTGTAGCTGAATGTTGTACAATGGTGCAGTTGAATGTCACACAATGGAGCAGTTGAATGTTGCACAATGAAGCAGTTGGATGTTGCACAATGGTGTAGCTGAATGTTGTACAATGGTGCAGTTGAATGTCACACAATGGTGCAGTCGAATGTCACACAGTGGAGCAGTTGAATGTCACACAATGATGCTTGTATACTTCTAGGGAAGTCTGTGGGGTTCGTGACGACAGCCCGGGTCACCCACGCCTCCCCAGCCGCCGGATACGCCAACTCGGCCGACCGCAACTGGGAGGGGACGACGGAAGTTGCTGAAGGTTGCAAGGATATTGCGGCGCAGCTTTTCGATAACGTTGACTTCGATGTAGGAAATGTTCCACTACTCTGATGTTAAAGCTTCAAATTTCATAATAATCTTAATAACTGGATCAAAATCAACTACACAAGTTTGATATTTGTGAGACGTACAATCAAAGTTTGTGAGGATGGATTGGAAAATGAACCACTGAAATTTAAAAAAAACATACAAAGGAACCTTTAGATCACTTCATCCCTTTGTTGTGAAGCAGTAAAAGTAAATCCGAAGAAATGGAACTAATAACAGTTACACAATTTCAGCAATGCATCCCAGAATCACATAATGTTATAGAGTTACAGTTCATTTACACCAATTGTGTGTTGGAACATTAAGAAAGTCAAGTGATTATTTTCTGAAAACATTGTTTCTAAGTACGTCAATTGTTTCTAACCACATCAAACACAGTCGTGTACGACAGTTGTTTCTGATAACATCCATTGTTTCTGGGTTAATTGATTGTTTCTGAATATGTGATACCCGTGAAGATCCGGGGTAGAATTGGTCTTCAGCAACACGTGCTTGCTGTAAAAGGTGACTATGCTTGTCGTAAGAGACGACACCCGGGATCGGGTGGTCGGCTCGCAAACTTGGTTGATGCATGTCATCGTATCCCATTTGCGAGGATCGATGCTCATGATGTCAATCACTGGATTGTCTGGTCTAGACTCGATTATTTACAGACCGCCGTCATAAAGCTGGAATATTGCTGAGTGCGGCGTCAAATAACAAACAAACAAATCTGAATAAATGAACGCCTTTGGATGACAATATTTGTATCTGACTGTTGCATCGACCGTCAGGTAATTATGGGTGGCGGCCGCCGCTACATCCTGATGGACAACCAGACCGACCCGGAAACTAACACCAGACACAGTAAACAGAGGACTGATGGCAGAGACCTCATCAAGGTGAAGGTCAACGCGGGGACAAGATCGTCTTCTGATCCAAATCGTCACAAAGCACACATGCAATGTGATTTTGTATGCACAATATCGAAATTATACGGAAATAATTGATTAACTTCAGCTATTAAATGCTTTTACGGCTGCAAACAATATTAAAATGTAGGCCCTATTTTCAAAGCTTCACTGCATTCATCACATGACGTCTAATCGAAGTTTTAAGCTAAACGATAAAGGGATATTCTCCTTAATGTGAGTAGGTATTGTTTTATGCCTCTTTTCACAATTTTGCAGCACTGTCACGGCAGGGGATACCAGAAATAGGCTTCACACATTGAACCCATGTGGGGACTCGAACCCGGGTCTACTACGTGACGAGCGAACGCTTTATCCATCAGGCTAGTTTCTTAAAGACTTAGTTTATAATTAGTGACTTCGTGTAATGTGTTGATATGTGACAATAATGTCACTGAACTACTTCAGTTGCAATACAATTAATCTGAAATTAAAAAACAAATAAACATGGTAAATTTAATCAATTTATTTTGGTAGCTAAAATGTCATTATATCTCCCGTGAACATCACGAGTTGGCGAAATGGTGATCAAGCATGTACTTCCTAAGTGAAGGCATGCATAAAGATCCCTACAAATTGAAAAATTGAGCCTCCTTGTCTCGAATTCGGTTGTGTCGAACTCACAACCCAGTCCCGTTAAACTCTTACTACATACATCATTATTTTAATCCTGTATCGAATTATCGGTTGTCTGTCAATTTATAGCCCAAGAGTTAAAACAATAAATGATAAACGTCCCTGATAAGTTGACCTCAGTTTTGTTGAATATGAAATTGAAAAGGTAGAACCTTTATAGATTAAAATGGCCTATAACTCGAGTCGGATATGTCGAACTTCACACAACTCGAACGATTTCTCTGGACTCCCAGGAGTTAGAGACAATGGGGTTCTACCGTGTGTAGGATCTATCTCCTTACCCAGTTTTGAGAACGCGGTCAGACACTTGAAGACACGGGAACAATGTGTGAAGCCCATTTCTGGTGTCCCCCGCCGTGATATATGCTGGAATATTACTAAAACCGGCGTAAACCCCCACGCACTCACTAGAAGAAAACGACGCGTCATCGTGGTCCCCGTATGTCTGTTTCAGGAATGGAAGGAGAAGAAACAGAATGCTGGGAAGAAAGCTGAATATGTGTTCAACAAGGGACAGTTCGACGCCGTCAACCCTGCCAACACAGACTCTCTACTGGGTACGTGCTTTGTCCGTTTACGAGGGTTGATTCACTGTAGCGCCAGCGCACCATAACCAGGGAACCAGGCGGAGCCTCACATTCGCGGTAAAATAAGCTGGGGGTCAGCGAACTTCGGAACTTGAGGAACTTTTTGTCCCTTTTGTTTGCTTAACGCCGCACTCAATATTCCAGCTATATGACGACAGTCTGTAAATTAATCGAGTCTGGACCAGACAATCCAGTGATTGACATCAAGAGCATCGATCCACGCAATTGGGATACGATGACATGCATCCACCAAGTCAGCGAGCCTGACCACCCGATCCCGTTAGTCGCCTCTTACGACAAGCATAGTCACCTTTTACGGCAAGTACGGGTTTCTGAAGAACTATTCTGACTCGGATCTTCCCGGCCACTTTAGGAACGCACAATGCAGCTTCGTTGGAAGCAGGGCAGACAAATACGGGCCGAATTGTGACATCTAAGGTTTAATGTCATTGTGCGTGATGGCGAGTGTCGCCCATCTTTGAAGACATTGGTTTGCCTGGACCAGAATGTGCAGGCCGTTCAGATAGGTCGTACAGAGCTGATTGTGAGGTTAAATATTTACTCTCACTCGATCAGAGCCAGACTCGGTGTGGTATATGTGGACAGATTTTACGTCTCTTCGGGCAGTATCGTAGTACATCGTTACGGGAGATTCAGAAATGACGACTTGCATGGAGTGAGATGGGCTTTTGGCCGCTATGATGAGTATCCCTGCTCGATCTCAGTGTGTGTCATTTTAATGTGTGAGGTATGCCAGAAGTGATTGATGACTCATATGTTTACACCTTTGGTGAAATCGAAAGAACGGGTATGGTGCTGACAATCTAGAAACATAATCGGGGCGAACCGGGATTCGAACCTATCATAGTTGTCTCGCGTGTCCAAGGGATCCAATTCTTTACTTTCAAGAAAAAGTATTTGTTACCCCGCCTAGCATTCTGCATTGAGGGAAAAAACAAGGACTGGTCGGGTAGGAGGTGAAATTGGGTTTAACGTCGCGTCCAAGATAATTGCACTTATATAGCGACGTGCATGCACATGTGTGTGTGTGGCTGCTTGTCCTAGTCCGGACTGATGCCGATTTATAGTGCTAGCTCACGGGGATACCATGCCGCAGATTAACATGAATACCCCACTCAGACACAGTATACTGACTCCGAGCCAAAAAGTCCTTGTTTTAGCCCCTTAATGCCGAGCGCTAGACAGGGTAACAACAAGTACTATCTTTTAACGTCTTTTGGTATGACGCGGTCGGGGATCGAACCCCGGACCTTCCGCTCCCCGGGCGGACGCTCTACCACTAGACCACGGAGGCGGTTGGTCGGGTTGGAGTCTAGGAGAATATAGGTTTGAGTAGGGCAGCCATGTTAAAACTGAAGCATGGTATCACTTTGGACTGGCTCTTTAAATATCGGCATATGTCCGGACTAGTACAAGCAGCCACACACACACGCACACACGTGCATCACGTCGCTATATAAACGCAATAATCGCGACATGTTGAACCCACTTCACCTCATCTCACTTGAATCAATGGTTTTATTAAGCCATCATATTTCCGTCATATCACGGCGAATCAGCCTGATGTGGGAGGACAGTCCGAAGTGATGCAGGTCTCAGACGTTAACCACTTCAGTGAAACCCACGAGCACGGGTATGGTGCTGACAAACCTAGAAACATAATTGGGGCGAGCCGGGATTCGAACCCACAATCATAGAATTCTGACGTGCCCAAGGGACGCAACTCTGCACAGCGAATCGCGGCGCCTTAGACGACTGGGCCGCCCGTGCCCCCATCACAGAGATAACAAACTTTGCATCGCTTTTATTTCAGGTTTATTTGCTCCGAGCCACATGTCATATGACCTTGAGAGGGACACGACTGCAGCCGGGGAGCCATCAATTGCGGAGATGACCAGAAAAGCCATTCAGATTCTCAAGAAAAACGACAAGGGTTTCTTTCTGTTTGTGGAAGGTAACGCCAGTATTGTGTTGGCACATGTGCACCTGTGTCGTTGTTGTTTACTGTATTCGTTAACGTCAAAATACGCGTCTCCATCACTTGTACAATTGGGTCATAAATCCGGTTACGTGTTAGAATCAAAGTAACAATCTCGAGCTATCCTGGGATAAGCCGAACCATTCCGGGACAAGCTGAGCATTGTAGGTTACGGAAATGTGACAACGAATGGATTCCGTAACCTGTGCCGGAATCACACGAGTTGTTGCGTATGAAGAACTGCCCTTACTCTACATTCGGGAAAACTCGTACCATTCCGGGACATGCTGAGCCTTGCAGGTTACGGAAATGTGACAACGAATGGATTTCATTTCCGTAACCTGTGCCGGAATCACGCGATTGTCACGAATGACGAAATGACCAACACAGCATTCGGGACAACTCGTGCCAATTCCGGGACGAGACGAACTCAGGTAACGGAAACATGCGAATGATTACGAGTTGACGCTGACGCTCTCCAAACAGTGATGAATTAATTATGACACCAACTTTTATTCCAACTAATCATTACTCCGTGAGTCTTAGCTTCGGGGAATGATGCCCCACAAAATACTGACCCTCATTTCTGCAACAGGTGCACGTATTGACCACGGTCACCACAACAACTCGGCCAAGAGGGCGCTGTACGACGTGTTGTCCCTGGATGCGGCTGTGGCAGCTGCAATGGAGGAGACGGATGAAGCCGACACCCTGATTGTCGTCTCAGCCGACCACTCCCACGTCTTCGGCATTGCTGGCTACCCGTCGAGGGAGAATGATATTTTCGGTAAGATCCTGAACAGTTTATCGCAGTATTTGTGACCTACCAGGACAAAAGGGACCTTTCGGGTGCAAAGATACAATTAGGGTGTGACGTCAAAAAGAAAGACGTTTGACGTCAATTTACTTCGGTATAAATCGCCATGTTTTTTGGACTGTACAAAAATATCGTATTTTTCTCTCGTTAGTTCGAAATGTAATAAAATCATTATTTCAAAACATAGCATACGTGTCAACTTTCAATTAATCACACATTATATCTAAAACCTGCAATCATTTTACATTAACTGTTATAAAAAAGTCTGAAAATGGGACTTTGCAGAAAATTAGTCCAAAGGTTTGATGCCATGTAGCTCTGTAATAAATGTGAATTGAACGTTATGAATTGTATTTTGTAGTCCCAGGATACTGAAGTTTAAAAAAATAATAAGAAGTCAAAATGTGATTTTTCACCTCAAAAAGTTCCCTTATCTCATGGTTGGTCACATTTATCAAACATCTTGCCCCCATGTGTATTTGAAAACTTCAGAGAAAGTGGGCGTGTCCGTCATAGACATCCCACAATGAGTACAAGGAATGGTGTCGCTGGAAGATGTTGCTGCAGCGGCATGAAGCCTCTCCTGATCTTCAAATATTCCCCACCCCCTCTGTTTAGGCTTTTCGCAAGGGATAAATATTACGGTGTAAAAACTGTCAAGGACCTTTTTAGTTATGTAAATTCTCATTTAATATTGTGCTTTTTAAAGAAAATAGAATTAATTCATATTAAAATTTGATGTACATAATGATTTTTTTTATATATTGGTAGTGCTAAATAATAACTTAGATTGTTAGTGGCTGTACCCTCGAGGTTGGGTTGAAGTAGCGTAAAATTATTGTCCCCCTAAGAGGGTATGTAAGTTCCACATCATTCAGAGTATTTGTATGCATGCCAGACTTTTAAACGTAGTGATTTCGTCACTTTAATCTTTGGCTTAATTGGTAAACTATCGCCAGTGTCTAAAGGGATGATGTAAATCCCGCAAGGCTCCATGCAGAAGGCAAAGGTACTATATGTGCCAATGATCCCAAGGATGGTGATCACCCTTCGGTGACTGACGATCTCTAGCCCATTTTGATATTGTGTTGTTCACTAATACTTACTGCTTTTTAATATTCTCAGCTAGTTTTAAATCGAATTTCTAGTTTTTGTGCTGTCCATCGTTGACAGCTTTATTTTAAGTCTAAATATATTTATCATTACTTTATAACTTCTCGTCACGATATGGCTGAAATACTGCCGATTTGACGTTAAATTTTAACTCACCACTGTTAAAGCAATAAATGATTGAGTGGGTTGGGTTTACCATCGTTTTGAACAGTAATATCGCGGCGTGTTCAATGAGGGTAGAAAGCCCAATTTGATACGGGTCTTCATCGTTTGTATTAGTTAAAGTAGCAGTACATGTAATGGTAGTTGCCGAGATTGTAGGAAGGGGCGGTTCAAGTCACAGAAGGCCGATTTGCGTCTATTGGCAAATTGTGTTGTAAGGGTTATCTCCCATGAGCCACAAGTGAGATTTTTACATCGCGACACGACTTCATCACGCCAGCCTACACTGTACACCATCAGAGATCAAACAAGGCACATATGCTTCGATTGATTGAGTGAGTGAGTGTATTGGGTTTAACGCCGCCATGAACAGTTTATCTCAATCTTAGACGTGTATCACTCAAGTGAAACGCACGAGCCCGAGTGCAATTCTGACAAAACAAGAATCGTATCATAATTAGGGCCGAGCTAAATTCCATGCACAATATGTATGCTCAAGGCGCTACAATAGACAAAGCCATATACATGAAACCAAACAAGATAACGTTGCTCCAGAGGATCGACACGGTGCACAGGCATTCTGTAGCATCCCTACCTGTTGATGTAGGTACCTATGCTGTCAATCAATCAATCTTTATTTCGTACTCAAGAGGCCACATGCCTTTAGTACATAATACAATTCAACATAATTAATCATTACAATAGAACATCAAATTGAAATAAATTATCTCCCACCTATCACCTACATCATGACAACCATAAATATGCTCATTTTATTCTGGCGTAGATAGTATTTAATTAACAGTTAACAATAAAATTATTTCATTTCTATGGGCAAAAGCATGGTAAGTAAACATCAATAAATTCTTTAAAACCTCTGTTCTCTCACATTTTAATAAACTTATAAATTTACATATGTTTGGTTCACTGTAATAGTATTTTGGTAAGTATTTTATTCTTAGTTCTAAATATAATGGACATCTGATAAGGAAGTGATACTCGTCTTCTATTTCATTTAAGTTACACACGTTACATTTTCTTTTTTCTCTAGGAGTATTTATATATCTGCCTGTTTCAATATGTAGATCATGCGACATGCAACGTAACCGTGCCAATGCTTTTCTATATTTTGGTATGGTAATATCAACGAGATAGCATTCTCTATAATTCTGACCGCCTCCGTGGTCTTGTGGTAGAGCGTCCGCCCGGAGAGCGGAAGGTCCAGGTTTCGATCCCGGGCCGCGTCATACAAAAAGACGTTAAAAGATGGTACTTGTTGTTACCCTGTCTGGCGCTCGGCATTAAGGGGCTAAAACAAGGACTGGTCGGCTCGGAGTCAGTATACTGTGTCTGAGTGGGGTATTCATGTTAAACTGCGGCATGGTATCTCAGTGAGCTAGCACTATAAATCGGCATCAGTCCGGACTAGTACAAGCAGCCACACACACACATACACGTGCATGCACGTCGCTATATAAGTGCGATAATCTTGGACGCGACGTTAAACCCAATTTCACCTCACCTCACCTCACCTCACCTCACCTCTATAATTCTCATAAAGCGCACATGTGTAACCCGGAAGGTGAAACAAATTGTAATGTGCATGTTGTACCTTCAGGATCAGGAATGAGAATATGGTACATTTCATATTTAATATTTATGTTATATTAAAAAAGTAAACAAAACTGGTAATATGTCTTCACAACACTGACTTTTTGAAACGTTATTGAACTACGGTTATAACGAACTAAAAATAGTAGTCCCTTTGAGATCGTTATAACCGTAGTTTACTGTATGTGGATAAGTGGTTGGATGGTTTGTTGTTAACGCCACACTCAGCAATATTCAAACTATGTGACGGCTGTGGATAAGTGCGGTATATTAATGTTTAATCATAATAAATAATAACCTCATATGTAGATAGATAAATCTGACCGTATTTTCTGAAAAGGATGGTCACATCAAACCCACAACCGTGAATATTGTATGCAGCGTCAGAGTGAGTGAGTGAGTTTGATTTTACGCCGCTTTTAGCATTATTCCAGCAATATCACGGCGGGGGACACCAGAAATGGGCTTCACACATTGTACCCATGTCGGGATTCGAACCCGGGTCTTCGGCGTGACGAGCGAACGCTTTAACCACTAGGCTACCCGACCGCCCCTGCAGAGTTAGAGCAAAATGGTGATCTGTTACGTCACGTTTTAGCCATGTTCCAGCAATGTTCCAGCAACACCATGACGTAAACCACCAACATGTGTATGTTGTTTAACGCCGCAGTCAGCAGTATATATTCCACCTACATGTGTGAGTGTACTTCCCATAAAATATCGAGATTCATGTAAATACTTCCTACCAAATATTGGCACTCTTTGTTAGCAGTTGACATTATAAGACACAAAGTAATTATGTTTTTAGTTAAGTCGGCAATACCCTTGCTGGTGGGTTTCACCGAAGTGTTAAACCTCTGAGACCTGCATCACTTCGAGCTTTCCTCCTCCATCCAGCTGGCACGCAGTGATAAAACTGGAATACTGTTAAAAGTGGCGTTAAACCCGACTCACTCACCCCCCGCGGATCACCATGGACCAGTTCACTTTATAGATCGGGTGGTCAGGTTCGGTGACCATGTTGACAGCGTGTGATCGAACCCCGCTAAGTTTACCACAAATTAAGACAGGGTCGGAGCTGTCTCAGGAGCTTCCAACAGGTAAATGGCGGCCAAACGACGGCACGATGACGAAAACGATTGGACAATATGGGTCTACTGTATTATTTCTGACTGCAAACCCCGAAACTAGAGTGAGTGGGTGAGTCTGGTTTAACACCGCTTTTAGCAATATTCCAGCAATATCACGGCGGGTGACACCAGAAATAGGCTTCAAACATTGTACATATGACGGGAATCGAGCCCGGGTCTTCGGCGTGATGAGCGAACGCTCTAACCACAAGGCTACCCGACCGGCCCCGAAACTAGAAAACACGCCAGAAACATGGTATATACCGATATTGACATGCCTCACTCACAACGAGTCGATAACAGATGACAGCATAATAATCATTCCACGCAAAAGGATATTTATAACACATTTCGTTGTATTGAAAATAATACTTGATATTTCACTGCTGTGAACAGAACACTTTGACGGAACTATAGTCATACAAGAGTTACCTCCCCTCTAATTGTCTCCCTTTATAGGAAGTGTCTGGCCCGTTTCTCTCATCTCGTGACCGGGAGAAAGGAAATATCTCGAAAAAGATCTCCTTCTCTTTAGCGCGTTTGTATGCTGCAGAATGTCCTTGACCTTTTCTTGTCAAGGGCAGTTAATTTATACAAAGAGTGAGAGTGGTTTCCATTAGACCACGTGTACTCCAGTAGATCATAAATAGAACTGTATGAAATTTAGCGTCTTTGAGCAGGCACTTTGTCGATTATGTATAACAAGATGGTTTAACATGATTTAATTTTATTTTTCATTCGAATAATAAAAGAAAAGAATCAAGTTTTTCCCCTGAGTGTTGTGTAAACACACTAAACGTCATTTACTGACGGATGCCATACAGTAGTGTTTTTTTGTGGATTGCAAACAGACTTTATGTCGTTCGGGTTGAATTCAGATGTTTACAATTTACTTCTATTACACTGACTGGAGTATTTCCCTTTGTGAGCGCACCGAATTAAAAGAAATACTTGAATTGAACTGAATGCTGTGGTTAGGGATCGTATCAACTCGTTAGAACATTTATTCTAACAAGTTGTTGTATGGGACATGAATAAACATTATATTTCTTGAGTAAAGTATTGTATTTACAATAAAATTTATGTGCTATTTCTAGCATGCTATAAATAGTGAGTGAGTGAGTTGTGTTTAACGCCACTATTCCAGTATTCCAGTTATATCACGGCGTGTCAGCATCATGTGGCAGGAAAGCCCGAAGTGATGCAGGCCTCAGACGTTTATCACTTTGGTGAAACCGACGAGCACGGGTATGATGCTGACAAACCTAGAAACATAATCTTGGCGAACCGGGATTCGAACCCACAATCAAAGGTTTCTGGCGTGCCCAAGGGACGCAACTCTGCACAACGAATCGCGGCCACCCGTGTCCCCTGTTATAAAGAGCTCACTGTCGATGCTGAGATTTTTGTCGCAAGTTAGACAACGTTGTGATAGGTTAAATAAAACTTCAAGAATAGCTCATAATGCAGTCGCATTTTATGTCTTAATTTTTTGTCTTAAGGCGCTAAGATTTGTCTCAGCTAAGACAGCTTCGTGAAAGGCAGCCTGGAATGAAGCTTTGTGGGGCGTTAAACAAAATCTTAATGAATCTCAAGCTTACCTAATGTTGTTGTATATGCAGGGCTGGTGGATATTGTCCCAGAGGATGAAAAACCTTATGACAAGATGCCGTACACCACCCTCTTCTACGGCAACGGCCCGGGCCCAGACCGCGCCAACCTCACCGACGTGGATACAAGTAAGTATTTTCGAGCGTTCAGCATTCTTGGACCGCCCCTGTTCAGTGGATGGAGCGTCTGCCTTGCGAGCGAAGGTCGGTGGTTCGATCCCTGGCAGCGTCATTCCTACGTTAAAAGATAGTACTTGTTGTTACCCTGCCTGGCGCTCGACAATAGGGGAATAAAACAGGGACAAGCACGTCGCTTTTTAAGTGCAATAACCTTGAACGCAAAGTTAAACCCCATTTCACATCACCCACCTCGTTCATTATTTTTATCCCCCGTGAAGGAAGATCATTGTTAGGGAATGTCTTCAGCAACCTTTGTGTGCTGCAAGAGGCGACTAACGGGATCTGTTGGTCAAGCTCGCTGTCTTGGTTTGTTTGTTTGTTTGTTTGTTTTTTTAACGCCGCACTCAGCAATATTCCAGCTGTATGACGGTGGTCTGTAAATAATCGAGTCTGAACCAGACAACCCAGGGATTGACATCACGAGCATCGATCTACGCAATTTGGATACGATGACATGCATCAACCAAGTCAGCGAGCCTGACCACCCGATCCCGTTAGTCGCCTCTTACAACAAGCATAGTCACCTTTCACGGCAAGGATGGGTTGCTGAAGACCTATTCTACCCCGGATCTTCACGGGTCCGCTGACTTGGTTTATGCATGTCATTATATCCCAACTGCGTGGATCGATGCTCATGACATCACTCATTGGATCCAGACGCATTATTTAAAGACCGCCGACATATAGCTGGAATGTTGCTGAGTGCGGCGTTAAACAACAAATAAACAAACGATCAAACAAAGAATATAAACAATGCAAAAAGACACACGTACTCTCAATGAGTATCATTGTTGGAAGATAGCACCCAACCACATCTTTTTTTTTTCAAAAATATGAACCAAAGTGTTTATTCCGGTATATTCAGCAACAAATTATTATTTCACACAGCGAAATTCGTATTGTTATTTCTATAGTCATTATATCTCAATTGCGTGGATCGATGCTCATGATATGAATCACTGGATTGTCTGGTCCAGACTCGATTATTTTACAGACCGCCGTCATAGAGCTGGAATATTGCTGAGTGCGGCGTTAAACCACAAACAAACAAACAGTATAACTTTATGCGAACCTTTTTTTCAGCTCACATTGACTTCCAACAGCCAAGTGGTATCCGAATGACAGATGACACACATGGGGCTGAAGACGTTGCAATATACGCACGTGGTCCGATGTCGCACCTGTTTCACGGAGTGCACGAGGAGCATTACATAGCCCACGTGATGGGGTATGCCTCGTGCGTTGGCATGAACAAGAAACACTGCTCAGAGAATCGCGAGTCGACCACGTGTGCAGGCAATGGGCTTACGTCCAGTTTTGCTGTGATTGTGTTCATATTAGCTGTATTCTTTAATAAGTAAATTGCTATATTGTATTATGTCCTTTAGAGTTAGCTAATGATCAAACAAAACCGGATAATAGCGTATTTTAAAAATAACCCATTGTTATAACGATCGTTAAAATACGTATATGATTTCTTGCTTTTTAACTCAGTTATTTTATGTTATTTAACCAAAATGAAGCAGTATTTTGCCAATTCCTAAAACCAACTTGACGTCTTGAGCGCCACATGTAGAGTTGCGTCCCTTAGTCATGACCTAATCCTATGATCATGGGAAGCCCAGATTACACCTGATAAGGGAGCACGGGTGGCCCAGTCGTCTCAGGCGCCGCGATTCGTGCAGAGTTGCGTCCCTTTGGCACGCCAGAAACCTATGATTGTGGGTTCGAATCCCGGTTCGCCCCGATTATGTTTCTAGTTTTGTCAGCACCATACCCGTGCTCGTGGGTTTCACCGAAGTGGTAAACGTCTAAGACCTGCATCACTTCGGGCTTTCCTCACACATTAAGCTGACACGCCGTGATATAACTGGAATACTTTTAAAAGCGGCGTTAAACCCAACTCACTCACTACACCTGATAATGTTTCAAATCTTGCCCAGCTGACTGTATTTGAAATACTGTTAAAACCGGCGGTAAATAAAATGTTATGTATTCATTGTCCTTCGTTTCATGTCTGTATCTGTCCCCACATTATCACCATAATTATTCATTTTTCTAGAATGTACATATTTTCAGTCAATAAACGTATTTATCCCAATGATGCAGTTTCAGTAATATAACTTTGACCCATCACCCGTTGTGGACACCGACCATCCGACCCCTCTGGGAGGAGGTACCATTAAAAACGCTCAAGTGGAGGGACCATTAATTATTCTCTTGGAGGAGGGACCATTACGTATTCTCCAAGAAGGATCATTAAGTAGAGGGACTATAAAAATTCACAAGGAGGAGGGACCATTAAATATTCCATTGGAGGAGGGACCATTAATTATTCTCTTGGAGGAGGGACCAGTACGTATTCTCCAGGAGGGGCCATTAAGTAGAGGGACTCTAAAGAATTCACAAGGAGGAGGAGGAACCATTACTTATTCTCTAGGAGGAGGGACCATTAACTATTCTCTTGGAGGAGGGACCAGTATGTATTCTCCATGAGAGACCATTAAATAGAGGGACTATTAAAAATTCACAAGGAGGAGGGACCGTTAATTTTTCTCTTGGAGGAGGGACCATTACGTATTCTCCATGAGAGACCATTAAATAGAGGAACTATTAAAAATTCACAAGGAGGAGGGACCATTAACTATTCTCTTGGAGGAGGGATCATTACGTATTCTCCATGAGAGACCATTAAATAGAGGGACTATTAAGAATTCGCAAGGAGGAGGGGCCATTAAATATTCTCTTGGAGGAGGGACCAGTGCGTATTCTCCAGGAGGGACCATTATGTAGAGGGACAATTAAGAATTCACAAGGAGGAGGGACCATCCAGTATTGTCTAGGAGGAGGAACCATTAGTATTCACAAGGAGAACCATTATGTAACTGTTTGATTGACATGTACCCATGTAGGGAATTGAACCCGGTTCTTCGGCGTGACAAGCCAACGTTTTAACTACCCCACCATCCTAGACTGACAGGATCGGGTGGCAAGCCTCGCTGATTTGGTTGATGCATGTCATCAAATCTAAGACGCGTAGATCTATGCTCATGATGTCAATCACTGGATTGTCTGGTCCAGGCTCGATTATTTTACTGACCGCCGTCATATAGCTGGAATATTGCGGAGTGCGGCGTTAAACAACAAACAAACAAACAAACAAAGTAAGCCTGGACCTGACAATCCAGTGATTGACGACATGAGCATCGATCCACGCAATTGGGATACGATAACATGCATCAACCAAGTCAGCGAGCCTGACCACCCGATCCCGTTAGTCGCCTCTTACGACAAGCATAGTCGCCTTTTACGGCAAGCATGGGTTACTGAAGACCTATTCTACCCCGGATCTTCACGGGTCCTTTAGATGACTGAGCCAGTGACCCGATTGGACAGAGACCTCACAAGAAGGAAGTGCTCCCTAAAATTCTCAGGTATTTGCTGTGTGATACCATGTGTGACATCATTCAAAACCAAGGGTACATTGTGACTCCCCTAACATTACAAAGAAACGGCGTGGATCTCTCTCTCTCTCTCTCTCTCTCTCTCTCTCTCTCTCTCTCTCTCTCTCTCTCTCACACACACACACACACACACACACACACACACACACACACACCAGTGCACGGATGGCTCACTCGTCTAAAGCACCGACAAAACTAGAGGCGTGAGGAATACTAGTATATCTCAGGCGAGTGACACACCATGCACATCCGCGTCTCGCTCTTAGGCCCCCTCACTGGGACATTTTGGCTCGGGTGGCAAGCCTCGGTGATGTACGCGTGTATTCCTTCTAAACAGGGGACACCAGTCGTCTAAGGCACCGCGATTCGCTGTGCAGAGTTGCGTCCGTGGGCACGCCAGAAACCTATGATTGTAGCTTCGAATCCCGGTTCCCCCGATTATGTTTCTAGGTTTGTCAGCACCATTCCCGTGCTCGTGGGTTTCACCGAAGTGGTAAATGTCTGAGACCTGCATCACTTCGGGCTTTCCTACCACTTTAAGCTGACACGCCGTGATATAACCGGAATACTGTTAAAAGCGGCGTTAAACCTAACTCACTCACTCACTCACTCACTCACTCTCTCTCACACACACACCAGTTTGACAAACAACGAAACAAATCGTTCATTTCATTTATTTTAGGTAGACATAAAAATATAATGACAATAAAATATGAAAAATATGAATAAAGTTAATAAAATGACTGAACAATGTTAGCTAAGAATATTCACTACCGCAAATATATGAAACGAGTTCCCAAACCCCATGAATGATATGACGTCTGATCCATGAAGTACACTTACAAACATGTACTGTTGGGGTATGTTTTTTTATCATGGACAACAATATCAATCTGTAAAAAACAGTTGTAAAAACAGACCACTTTACAAGTTCGTGTCTGCGTTTAAAGAATGTCATCAAGCACCCATTCAAAACGCTGCTTTAACACGACGTTTGCATTATTGCGCTATTTTAGCGTTGCCGTAACTGATAGTAAAAACTATTCCAATGTGACGTATTTAGTCACGTGTTTTCTTGGGACTTCCAAACTGTGGTATGTCTCGATGGACATACATTCTTCAGGATCAGAACAAAATAAATGGACGACCGTTTAACGGTTGATGAGATACAGAACACAAGTTACTTTGAGACCTGTTCATTTCTCATTTTGACTATAAGGCCACAGATTTACATGGGAGATGGTTAAAAAAGAATGTCGAAACATATCTGGTATCTGGTAAAATACTGGGCGACTATTAAAGAGGGCCTCGTCTCCAATAAATAGACATGGACGTCGTTGACTCGGTCATACAGTCCAGATGAACGGGGTATCATTGTAAAGGGTGGAGGAGTGATTTCAGTGACCCCTCAGTCGGTTGATGGTGATTGATATCGACTGCCGTCCAGTCTGGCCCAGTAAGATCCCAATCTCATTAAAATCAGATCTTAGTCCTCGCTACCGCTAAACAAAGATCTGCGGACATCCCATTATGAGTCACGTCAGACCGACCTTTCGCGAACTTTGACCGACCAATGGAATGACTAACAAGAAGTCGACAATAGCCAATCAGAAGGCAGCTTAATCGATTTTTACGGTTCGAGTTTCAAACTGGCGACTACGCTTCGAAACATATTTTGACATATACTGGATTAAAAAATTAAAAACTGAACAAAAGAATGTCCTGGAATGGCTAATAGATGGTATATATTGTAGGAATACAGTCACAAAGCCCATAACTGTCGTTCGGATTACCCGGTGTGTGATTTTCTCGAGGTTGCACGATCAAAAATCACATTCCAACTGTCACTTTCAAGATCTGATAAGGTCGTTCTGACATGAACCGCAATGGGATGTCCTCAGATCTTTGTTTAGCGGTAGCGGGAACTAAGATCTGATTTTAATGAGATTGATAGATCCCTAATATCGATAAACTAATCATACAAAATAAACAAAAAAGTGGCTTTGGTTATATCATCAGCAGTCAAATGTTTGAACGTAAGATTGTCGTCAAATGATGTGCAAAAAAGCAATGATAATGAAACGATAATTGCATTTCACAGTTGAACGTAGTAATGATGTTATTTCACTGTGTTATACGTACTGATGTTACGACAGTACGTTATAACGCCATACCAGGTTGTGAATACGATTCAGGATATACACCAAACAATTTTCATCGATTGCACATAAAAAACACAGCGAACGAGTTTTTATCCAGGATCCAGGTTTTTAAAAAGCGGTGTGTACACACCCCAAGTCAGCACGTGGACAAAACACAAGATAGGTAGACAACTTACGTGCCCGGAACAGAAGGATAATTCCTTTGTTATAGGTTGGCATCATTGTTAGAAATACGCATGCTATATTATTCTCTTAAAAATCGTGGGTAGCGTACCGATTTCTACTAAAATGTACTCAGAGGTATGATCAGCATAACGTGACGTCATCATATTGATTTAAACGTCATTCATTCAATGATGAGAATGACATCTGAAAATGGCTGAACATGCAAATTTAATGTTTGAGTGCGCTAAAAAAGTGTTTGTGCAAATGACTAAATTTTATACATGAAACGACATGGCATGGCTTTTTATACTTAATAAATTTGACCAAGATTCTTTGAAAACATGTCACTCGAATTTTCAATTTCTTTACAAAATGCATTCATTATAAGTATGAATATCACCTATTTTGACTAGATTGAATTTTGCTTGCAATTGTCACAGCGGTTATTAAGGATTATGAAGGAATTAGAAAATTGGATCGAATTAAAAGCTATGTTCACTGCAGGTCACATTTGTACATATTAAAATGTATATCTAGCACAATCATAGTATATAAAGACATACATATGACAAACTTAGCTATATGTGTAATGTAAATATAAAAGTAGAACATTGCGTGAAATATACATGCAGCAAGGCACAGGACATTGATATGCATGTCGAGGATACAATGGTAGAATGTACATATTGTTTTATGTAGAAAACAAATTGAATGAATGGTAAGAAAAAAATGATGATGTGTGTATTTTTAAGACATCATATATATGTTGACACTAGCGTTGGCCAACATGGACTCGTCCAGAATGTCAACGCTGTTAACGAGTAATAGCTAGTACATTATGTGTTGCCGGAAAAATATTATAAAAATGACATGTCACACGAACCAAAATTGATCAGTGAGAAATGATTTGGTGTATGTTAACCAAAATTTATAGAAAACGTTTTTTTATGAACATTAATCAAACAATCAAACAATCAAACAAGATCAAACATGACTTGGCTCAATGAATGGCTCACACATTCACATATTTTACACATATAATACGTAAACATGGGTCTTGAAAAAATGCAATACGTAAATATAATAAAAATTGAGAAAATGTTACTAACGAATAATATATACAGCTAAACTCACTACTGACCGTAGCTAAACAAAACAGTCAACAGTGATAGTGACCACAGTGTCAACAGGGGATATAATGCTTATGTAAGGGCGAGCACAAGGACCCATTGTGGCGAAGTTGATTTGCAGTAGTTTAGAAATGAGTGGAATTTTTTGAAATCTTTTAAGATGTAAAACTACAGGGTGAAAAATAATAGAGGTTTCGCGAAATTATTTTGATATTTAATATTTAAACAATAATAAATCTTTGACCCAAGCTGATTTTCTCAGGCGATGAGGCTTTTGGCGTTCAAACTTGGGAGGTTTGCAGGGGGAGATAACAGAATTTGATTCCGTATCAATCGAAGTTCCTTTCCTTGCCCCACAGATAAACTACAATGAGCACATATCTGCCGACCTTAAAAATCGAATATTCCGAAAAAAATGAAATCAGAATGACAAAGTTTTTTATCCCGCCGCTTTTTCAATAAAAATAATGCAAAGGGTTTTTAAGCGACGAAAACAGAATGTCCGATGCTATTCACCATTTTCTACATGAGCCATATGTTTCCGTGTTTTTTCAGGTGAACACTTGACTTGCCTGTGCATGTGTTTGTTACGGGCACCATCGGTAGGGCAGGATACGCTAACCTTTCCGCGAAAACTTGGTATTTACCACTTTTTGGTCCTGATTCATACGATATTGTCGGAATTGTACAATCGATTCTGCTTTTGGCAGAGATTTCTTATGAATATGGAAGGATTGTGTCGCTTTTATTTTTTTCCAACAATGAATCGTCATTACAAGTCAATTAATTATAATATTTTTAAGCACCCAAACCAGGCCGAGATTTATTTTTAACACCTATCGCTCCAAATGAAACTTAACAACGACTAAAAAAAAAAATGTAAAATGCATTTTTTAAATATTTGTTTCGACCTTACGACTGTTCTCTGTCAAAATCCGTAAACCAACCGACGTCTGCCCTCAACAATAATGACAATGGGCGCAGCGTACACACTCATTCAAAATGTAAATTATGACGCATGGATTGCGGTGGTACTTGGCTACCAAAACAAGGTATCACATCTATACAAGTCAACCCCAAACAAAAGGTCCAATAAACAAGTAAATACATATCAAAATATACATGTATATCGAAAGGCACTAAGTTCAATGTTAAGTGAGACAAATCGCTTGAAATATAAACAACGATGTAAATGCGAAGTAAAGTAGATTCTTCAAGTAAGATGGAATGTTGTAAGTTTGTTTACAGTGAACCCCCGGTAAACCGAACTTTGTTAACACGGACTTCGTTAATCCGACAATCCTGCCTTCAAAACGATTTTGTCTTAACGTGTTTAAAGGAACATTACGAATTAATCCGTTAATCCGGATTTTTAAAATTCGTTTTAACGACATTGTCCGGTTAATAGGATTGCATTGTATAATTAAACATCTTGATGTAGAAGATTGTATGATCATGGGTTAATGAAAGCCGTGATACGCAAATACACAGCCTGTTTTGTAGAAAAAGTTACAAAACAAGTTACTTTTCATGTTTTTAACGAATATTCAGATATGAAGATATTTGTGATTTTTCCTAACGTAAAAAATGTAGGCGTACAAAACACCAATGTTGAACAAAGTCAGCAGATGGAAGATGATAGCTAATAATAATACACAAGCAAAATGACATACGGAAGCGGTAACGATATTTACTCGTCATCATCAATACTTCAAAGGTTGTATACACCACGCACCTCCATCATCTATGAATACATTGGCCTAAATTCGATGTGGTCGCTGTTTTTGACCGACGATTCAAGCGACGGCCTGTTCAAACAAGACGGAAACCAGAGACTACTTTGACCAATGAGCGATCACGTTACATCGCCCAAACGGCAATATTTCTCGTGCAACACGTGCCTTGCTGTTATCAACGCTACACATTGCTTTCAGTGATTCATTCATATAATTTTCACGGCTATTTTGCCTTTTACGCCCAATAGATTCTATTTCGTTGGATAATCGAGACTTATTATTCTCTGGCGTTGACGTAATACATTCAACATCAGACAACGGGTTCGAAAGTACTAAGGTCTTGAACGGAGTAGGGCTCATTTAACTTCCGTGAGTTATAAAAGGTCGCATTTCATTGGTTGACTAAAACTGGACTCGCGTCACTGTTACGCCGCAAAGAGGCCGTGTGTGATGGAGGTGGCGGAGTGAGGGAGTGTATTCAAACACGTGAAGTATTGACAATGTCGGATGCTGTACAGATTATGCCATTTAGAAAGCAGTATGAAACTCAGTAACAACGTTCTTTGGTGGTCGTGTGAAGTCACAAACCCGTCTCTCAAATTAAAAGTAGGACAGATTAGACGTTTGTAATCGTCAGCTTTTGCTAAACACTTTTTACTCACTCATATACTTTTACTCACGCACGCACACTCCACGCAGTCTCAGGATATCATGATGACCAAAACTATTGCATTCCTAACAAGTTCTCTGTCGTTCGGAAAACCTCGGCAATTCAAACAGATTGTGCCTGTGGTCATTCCAATTGAACCCAACTTCGGACTTTGTCGGAATGTACCGAGGAAATTCGAATGATTTTGATTGTGAGCAAGTATCTAGGTGACATCATGGTGACGTCATGAAAATGACCATTCTTCTTTGCAGAGGCCCTCTTTGCATGCTTGGCATAGCTCGGCGTTGTGTTGATTCCTGGGCTTCCCGGCACGTCTGTCTATTCTCAGTGGTGGGCGGACAAAGCCGTAGTAGAGCTGTCCGACACGGTTGTACACGTTGCCAATAACCTGCAACGTTACGACACAGCGTTAAATGACGATTTCAAGAAAAAACAAACTTGCAAGTGATTCCATGGCATTTGATTAGCTGACCAAGCAATGTTTTGCGTTTTCTTTGTATGAACATACAAACATGAGGCCTGGCCAATCTATGGACAACTTTCGTAAGTTGTTCTGCATTGTTGGGCTAAACGATGTCACTGACTTTGTCACTGACCTGCCTATATTTTTGTGTTAATGATTAAATAAGCAGTATGTGAAGTCATTTTGACTTGATTTCGACTTATTTATAAGAACTGACTTCAATATCTTTTGCGTTTATGGAGGAATAAACGTCCAAATTATGCACACATTTAAATCCGCGTATCTCATAAACACTTAAAACTGAAGGAAATCAATAAATATTCAGTGAAACCTCGTTCACTCAAAGTCCTGGTGTCCAACCAAAATATATCGAGTTATCCATAGTAGGAGATAACGCTATTTCTTAACGGAGGGAGCACGGGTGGCCCAGTCGTCTAAGGCGCCGCAATTCGCTGTGCAGAGTTGTGTCCCTTGGGCACGCCAGGTACCTATTAGTGTAGGTTCGAATCCCGGTTCGCCCCGATTATGTTTCTAGGTTTGTCAGCACCATACCCGTGCTCGTGGGTTTCACCGAAGTGGTAAACGTCTGAGACCTCCATCAAGCTGACATGCCGTTATATAACTGGAATACTGTTAAAAAAGGGCGTTAAACCCAACTCACTCACTCTTGACGGAATTTACCTTCAGGAGCTTCCATTTTTTACGGCAACATATTTTCACATTAGCATAATGAATTTGAAATAAATATATGTGTATCCAAGGCAACCGGCGCAACGTGATGCCTTGATATTCATGCTGAAATCAATACTGGATTTACGGTTTGATGAACGAACGCTTAAATTACAGGTCGTCCCGATCGCGCCTCAAACACAACAAATATACGCGATTCGTGCGTGCATGCGTTACCTTGACGACCTCTTCTGGGTACCACATGGCGTGTTCGTAGGATCCGTTCTTACACTTCTGGCACTGCTGGCCGTACAGCTTGAAGAGGACGTAACCGGAATTGGTGGCGTAGTTGAGGTGAAACCAGAAGATGACGCGTCCCTTCATCGACGTCCACCCATGACCGCACTCCTAGAAACAGAGCAGATATGGCGTTACCGAAGGAACGTTAAACACTTTCTGTAGTTTTCAACTGAATAGAACATTAAATTAAAGCAAATAGAACAGAAGGGACGTTGTCCTGGAGGCAACGAAACACTGTATCTGTCTAATGCGAATGTGTAACTATGTACGTATCCAGTTTAAAACCTGCGTGTGTGCGCAATAAACACACTTATGAAAGATGAAGCACAATTTTTCCTGTTTGACCCACTCAATTGATGTGTGTGTGTGTGTGTGTGTGTGTGTGTGTGTGTGTGTGTGTGTGTGTGTGTGTGTGTGTGTGTGTGTGAGGGGGGGTGTCGCGTTTGGCACAAGGTTGACACTGGATTTTTGATGGGTTAGTATGTATTTATTTAATTTCAAAGGAGTTTCAAAAGAGTTCCATAATGAGTGAGTGAGTGAGTTGGGTTTAACGCCGCGTTTAACAGTATTCCAGTTATATCGCGGCGAGTCAGCTTAATGTGAGAGGAAAGAGATGCAGGTCTCAGACGTTTACCACTTCGGTGAAACCCACGAGTGCTGACAAACCTAGTAACATAATTGGGGTGAACCGGGATTCGAACCCACAATCATAGGTTTCTGGCGTGTCAAGGGGACGCAACTCTGCACAGCGAATCGCGGCGCCTTAGACGACTTGGCCACCGCCCCCCCCCCCCCATAATAATTGAGGGGAGGGTGTTCGATTTCATGATACCCCAAGACAAATCTTTAGAAGCATACAGTAACGACACTAGGTTTCAGAACACCGACTGTCCAATGTGTCACTCTCGACATGTCAGCCAATACGTATAACATCTGTGACCTACTTTCATTGTGGGACACTGCGTGTTGTCGAAGAAGGGTAAACATGTTGAATATTGACTATAAAAACACATCTTTCAAGTCATGGTACTTTCTTTGTTCGACGGTGTGGTGTCTGCCGTTGGTGATATGTCACCGAGGATCTAAGTACACATGGCATGTAGGTTACATTTCAACGTTCTTTTTGCTCTCGTCATCGCTTAAATATTATCATGTTTTTTCTATATTTTCCAAAGCGTGTGAAGGGTTTTGAATACAGCTTCCCTGGCCTATTCTTTATTAAATATACTCATGCAGGGGCATTCGTTCATCACCTCTGGCTATACTTCTTTTTATCTGTTTGGAAAGAGACACGGGTTGCCCAGTTGTTTTAGCCGCTGCAAATCGCTGTGCAAAGTTGCGTCCCTTGGGCACGCCAGGAACCTATGATTGTGGGTTCGAATCCCGGTTCGCCTCGATTATATGTCTTGGTTTGTCAGCACCCTTGTGCGCGGGGTTTCACAAAAGTTGTAAACGTCTGTAACCTGCATCGCTTCAGGCTTCCTCCCACAGGAGCTGACACGCCGTGATATATCTGGAGTATATTTAAAAGTGGCGTGAGACCAAACTCACTCACTCACTGTTGGGAAAATATACTTATGACAAACCCGTAAAGATCCGGGTTAGAGTAGGTTTTAAGCAACCCATGCTTGCCGAAAAGGACGACTATGCTTGTCGTAAGAGGCGACTAACGGGATCGGGTAATCAGGATCGCAGACTTAATTCATCCATGATTTCGTATCCAAAATGTTTGGATCGATGCTCATGATATCAATCACTGGAATGTCTGGTCCAGACTTAATTAAATACAGACAGCCGTCATATAGCTGGAATATGTAAACAAAAGTAAGCATTTCAACAGAATATTAAAACAGGATTTTTAAAAATAGCCTTTTTATATGGAATATAGAGTGGTTGGTAATTTTCTCCCACGTGTAATATCATATACTTGGCAAAGTTATCCTAATATGAGTTGTATTGGGCAACCTCCGCTTGATGTGAACGGCATCAGGTACATTCGGGAAAAGGGAGGTAACTCTGAATTTGTATCATCTTGTGTCATTAGCTAAAAATATACAGCCGCTTCCCTCACAGTGGCGGATCCTGAGAGGGAAGGATGGGGTGTCCTAGGGGTGACCAGTGATCGGTGTTGGCTTAAGACGACACTGAGTTAGTTTTCTGTGTCGGAGGTTAATAGGGTTGTTGAGTATATCCGCTTAATCTAACCAAAGAGATGCAGATCAATGTCTGGTATTCGAACCCGCAATCAGCGGATCCTGGTTTTACTAAGGGACGCAACTTAGACAACTGGTTCAGACCACAGTAGCATCCCCGTGCCCAGGTGTATTGACAGATGTCAAAGTTTGGTTTTTGTCCAATTATCATTTATAAATCTTAATTACTTAATTGATTAAGTATATATATTTTGTGCTTTATTACAGCTTGCGTTTGTGACATGAGTGACTTTCAAATTCTGGACGTTTTCTTCCAGGCGCATGTGATAAATACATTCTGGTTTCCGGTCACATTCTCAACAGTCATTTCTGCATGTCAATACACATTCTAACACATTCCTATATATATCACGTCAGAAACCTATGATCGTGGGTTCGAATCCTAGTTCGCCCTGATTATGTTTCTAGGTTTGTCAGCACCATACCCATGCTCGTGGGTTTCACCGAAGTGGTAAACGTCTGGGCTTTCATTAAACATTAAGCTGGCTGGCAGGCCGTTATATACCTGGAATACTGACTGTTAAAATCGGCGTCAAATCCAATTCACTCACTATATATATCACTACACACAATTTAAAGAAAGTTGAACAACCTCGTACCAGAATTACACAATGATTACAAGGACACAGTGACACACTCGAACATATATGCCTGAACAATCCTCCCCGGGGGGTTATAAGTGGATATACTCGCTCATGAATGAACTAGTTAATACTATGAAAGTGAATCCGTCATGTGTGACAGCTGGTTGCCTTAACCCTTCAGCGGCTGAGTGCTATCCGTGGCCACAGCATCGTACATCAATGAGCTGACTGCTGGAATGAATGGATGAAACTAAAGCGACATCCCCTTAAACCAGAGACTGGAAGTTTACCCCCACCCCCCGGAAATGGGTTTGATGTATAACCATGTGGGGGGTCGAACCCGGGCCTTAGGGTGACGAGCAAACGCTTGAACCAATGAGCTACACGCCCAGAGAGGTGAACGCCACAAAAAAAGTAAAGTAAGATACATGTAGTATGTGTGTGTTTAAAGAAAAGTTATTTTAAGCATGTAAGATACATACGGACTTTATAAAATTGTTGAGAGATTCGAATACCAGCTTCTGTTCAAAGTGGATTTGAATAACGTTGAGAATTATCACTAAAAGAAGATGATTTATATCTGTTCCTCTAAATCGTGTTTACAGAGACACCACCAGCGGCCTTTTCTCGATAGAGGCAAACATACAAACAAATATCAGATCGAGTTTAATGACATGAGGGCGACATTCAGAGGAATAAATATGTCACCAGCAAATGAACTGTTAGACTTTGTACTCACTTCTGAATCATGATCAGGTATATATATAGTGCCTAGTTTAGGTCATCGTCTAGGTCACCTTGCGTGAAGTGTCTGTTTAGAATTACAGATGAAACGACAAGTGATGAGTGTGGCTTGAACAACGGGGAGGCTTATGCAATGTGGTATCTGTTTAATATTTAAATGTACCATCTCTTGTCAACAAGTAATTGTATTGTCAAAATCCGTTTCCCATCCACACCCGCCTACCACACTCACCACAACTCACACTCATTCGCCTCTCCCAGATTCTATCCCACCACCTACCAAACCACCTCCCATCAATACCCTATCTTACCCCCACCCACTCCCTTCCAACCCCCACCAACTTCCACCCTACCCCTACCACCTTCCCCGAAATTATCCCATCCCACCCCACCAACTTCCATCCTACCCCTTACAACCTTCCCCCCACACTCTCCATTCCAACCCTACCCACTCGCACCCTCTCCCATCCCACCCCACCAACTTCCATCCTACCCCTTACAACCTTCCCCCACATTCTCCATTCAAACCCCACCCACTCCCACTCTCTCCCATCTAACCCTCACCCACTCGCACCCTCTCCCATCCCACCTCACCTCTCCAATCCTACCCCCACCAACTTCCACCCTACCCCTTACCAACTTCCCCCACCCACTCCCATCCAACCCCCACCCACTCCCACTCCCACTCCCACTCTCTCTCTCTCATCCACTCCAATCCAACCCCCATCCACTCCCACCCTACCTCACCCTCTCCCATCCAATCCCCACCAAATCCCACCCTCTCCAATACTACCCCCTCCCCTCTCCCATCCTACCCCACCCACTCTCATCCTACCCTCCCTTTTCCCATCCTCCCCCACAAACTCCCATCCTACCCCCTCTCCCATCCTACCCCATCTTCTCACATCCTACCCCATCGCACTCTCCCCCACCCACTCCCATCTTACCCCACCAACTCCCATGCACCCCCCCCCCCCCCCCCCCCTCCATCCTCTTTCATTCCATACTCCACTAAAAAAGAACAAAACATATGGACTAAGCAACGCTTTGCCACACGATATGTCTCAACTTGTTGCACGACATTAGACGCTGTTGCAGTTTTTCCGACAACTAGGGTACACCAGGGTGACTCTCCTTCACCTTCGCTTTTTCTTCCGAGTGGTTTTACGACACCTTGATAGCGACCATGCGTGCGCATACTGATGCCGATAGGTGATACGAAGGCTACGATGCACGTGGACACGTGACCGAGTCCCCGATGAAGTGCTGCACTGATACGCGATTAAACGCTTCTGTGATGTAAAGTATTGTAAAGTCATCCTTGAGCTGACAGTGAACACAAACACACACCAGATCTGAACGGATTTTGTAACAGAAAACGCACAGAACATCATTATATGACAAGATTCGAGGTTGTTATCTAAACCCCCCTGGTCTATCTGGAACGCCATGACCGAGATTTTTTTAGATCGTGTTTCGCCATTCAAGGCCCTGGATCACCCGACGCACACGGATCGAGTCAACATATTATTATGTGGCTGTGTAAACTCAAACATACATTGATCTA